GGTTGACATTTCATGAGTTTGCACATCTACTGTACACTGGTCGGCTGATGAGGAAGAAGGTAATGTGCACGGATCGCGTTATGGAGCTCGCTCGCCCGGTTGTACTTTGGGACTCTGGCGGGGGGAGGGGGTTGGTTATGACTGGCTGTTGGTGGCTAGCAAGCCAGACATGATAATTCCAGTCCCTCTCGTCTTTGTCGGCAATGTTATTCTGTAACTTGGTTAGTATTCATTCCAACTGGTTGGGTCTTTTCGCATAAGGCTGGGGGTTTGGAATATGGAAGAAGGGTAATCAGCGGCAGCGAGGGTAAGGAAGAGCCGTATTGGGGAGGGGGAAGGGGGAGGAGGGAAGAGGGAGGAGGGAGGGGGGAGAAAGGCGGGAAGGACTGCACGCAGTTAATTAACCTTTGGCTACAGTGGGGCCTACAAAATGCCCAGAATCAAAAATATGCGCGAGAATAGCGCGGACTCTTGCGACCAATGCCACGAGCAACACTGGACACTGAAGTAAGTACGCATGGACGTGCTCTGAGCTGGCAGCCTATCCTTACCTTCGTATAAAGCAGGGTTGTTGGAGAGAATAACAGGCCAAACTCTTGCTGCTGGGAACGCTCATTAAACAGCCTGTACAAGGAGTCTTCTCAGGGATACACTCGCTGCGGCCCCTTCAAATGAGGACATTGAGTAGCAGAAATTATATTTTCTGCTGTCGGCATGATGCGTTTTACCGGGGTCTCGAAGGTGTTCCTTGCGATACACTTGTCAGAGTACGCGTCCACGCAAAGCAGGTTCTGGATTTTTCTGGATCCTTATCCGTGACGTCTGCTGAAAAACATTCCTTTAGCTCTTTGCGCCAAACAACGGACTTGGCAGCGTTACCGTTGAGAGGGCACGAAACTGATCAAGTTCATGTATCATCCAGACGAAGACTTCCTCAAATAGATGCTCCTTCGATTGCTACCATCAGTTCGTCTGCTTAGAAGGACATCTAAGAGGGCAGAGAGCCTGCCATTTCCACCTACAACGTAAATTTGCTACTCAGGAGAGCAGTTATGTTGGATTTTGCAATGACATTTGCGAAGAGGTCATCAACATGGCGACCGTAATGTCTTGTGACATAAAAGAATAAATGCTCTGGGCCAAAGTCTCGCCACGCGAATAGTCTAGACCTCAGAATGATGAACTAACAGCAAAAATTCCCGTTCAGACTGTCTCGAAGATTTATTTGACATTTGATTGGTAACCACTGATGGTCATCTTGCGTCGCCAGTGACCCTGCGGGTAAGTGAACGCAATCGATTGGACAAGAACCGCATTCTTCCTGGTGTTTCGATTTTAAACTGGAAACCATCATCAGGACCGTTGTGAGGGAGAAACGGGAGAGGGGTTAAGTGGACAACTGAATTAATGAGACGAAATTAGTAGGCGTCTGACCAACAGTGTCAGGCAATAATCTAACCGTCGGGTATCCGAGCCCACATCGCGAGTGTTTGAAAGCGGCATGATGATAACCCTATCGGGAACGCCTGAGCCTTTGATCTGACAACATTTGCCGCTGATGTGGGCGGTTGGTGCAATGGAGATTTCACAACCGGACTTCAAAACGTTATCTCCAGGTGATACACCTTACCTGCATAGCATCCTTGTACTTAAATAGTCTTCTCAGACAGCCGTTGTGTTTCATGGGTCATGACATCCCTCTACTTGCCCCTAACTGCAGAACTTGACTCTGGCAGGTGAAGATGTGCCCTAACCGTGTCGAGGAAGTCGAGAGCCACGATTTGTAGGTAGTCTTTATGTGCCCTCATTACTGGAGCGTGCAGGGGGCCGTCGGTGGCATCTTACCCAGTATTTTCCGGGTCATTGAATTTGTCTTCCCACCATCTACTACCTACCTACCCTCCACCGTCATTGCAACGTTTTTTCCCCAGATCGGTCCGGTCTGGATGCTAAATCGCGGTTTTCTGAACCCACTCGGGGTAGGAGGGCAAGAGGCCTATCTATTTACTCTTCAGTCGGGGACCAAACCCCCCTCGATTCAGACCGAGTCATAATGACCACGCTCGTTCTAGGTAGAAAGTCCCCGAGTCCTTATTATTCCAGCCGCACTCCCCCCCTCCTCAGTAAGACTAGTCAGCACTGGACTTTGTTCTGTGCAGTCTACCGCCAACTGCTATTCTTGCAGTCGTTCTGCACTTTTCGTCCATTTCCCTGTCCCCTTCCCTCCACGTATGGTTGTAGGCTTCTTCGTGGCAGCCGAGAGTGTAGTCCTTCCATAAGGCAGGGGACAGCGAAAAGTGCCCAGGGCTGTGATTTCCACTTCAGCCTTGAAAGTGTCACCGACTTTCTCCTTTATGTAGGCCACTGCTTTCACACATGAAAGACTGTTTGAAAGCTTGTTTTGCACCCAAGCGACCAAACAACGGGGCCTTCGCCGTGAAGGTCTCACACTGAAGATCTGTGTGGACTCCTCTAAACTATCTCACATGCTCTTCCTGCCAGTACAAATTATGACTACCATGGCAAAGGTGAAATCTTGTCCTGGAACTGGGTGCCAAAACATACTAATGCCGTGTGGTGGTCTTGATGCCCACGTTCATGGCCCCCTCCAGTAGGTCGTTTACGCCGCTTCTGTTCCGAGTGACCTTCAGTCATACTGCTGCTACCAGATCTCAGCTGAGATGTCGAACGCCGCTACCTACGGAATAGCCTTCTCCCCATTGGCTGTTAATGACGAAAACATGTGATGCCGCAACTGGTGTTCTCAGTCATTATTTTCTCCTACCCAAACTTTGGATTAAGATAAAAAGAAAGAATTTTTAAGTTTCGGGATGTTTTTGAGCTCAACGTCATGTAGAAGGGGGCCCTAATTTTGTTAATCCGACTAATGACCTCTTATTCTACATAGGGCGACTAGGTTGCTACATCTTCCCAACGGCGTCACCGACATAAATGATGCTGCAGCTGTTTTGACCGCGGATGTTTTAAAAGCCGGCCGCGGCTTCATGGCGTTTAAGAGAAGAAAAAAACCCTGACACCTAGCACCCGCCCCAAGGAGTAGTGTTGACTCGGTTGCAATGCAGAAAATATTGATGTTTAATCATTCAATAGGTGCTGCGCCAGTCATTTACCATGACAGTTTGCCTCTTAGAAAATGCCAGGAATTCCGCAGAGACAAAGTTATCCCACTTCACATAGCATGAATAATGGCGGAGTTGATGATGTCGCATATGACCTAAACTAGCCGTCGGTGATTTTGTGCCGGTGAAGTAAGCAACTTACATCAGAGTATACTGATCGTTATATGAGGGATGACGTCTGAGACTTTTGTGTGAGGCGCCTCTAATGCACGCAAACCAGTAAGAATTGGCAATATTTCACGAAGAGCTGCATGAACTGGGTGGATTCCAGCTCACGTAGGCACACCGCAAGTACGTAGCTGTCAGTGGGAGCGAAAATGTGCTCACATGACTGAAGGTGCAAAGCAATCAACGAGCAATCTGACACACCCGTTTCGCTTTTGTGGTTACAGAAGGCTTGAGGCACTGCTAAGGTTTGCATGAAACTACTGTCAAATCGATCAATATGTGTGAAGACTCAAGGCCCAGGTATAGTATCGTGTTTATCATCTCCCGAAGAAGACGAGGAAGAAGAAAAGGCGGCTTCATGGACCAAGTTGAGATCATACTGACGTTTCGGGAACCCTCTTGTTTCCATCCTCACCGCAGTCGTTCGCTGGCTTTTCCTGCCGGCCTTGATTTGTTCAGCCTCGTATTACAACCGTGCTCAAGGTACATACGTCGACGGGCCTGTTTTCTATTGGCTGGTTTTGACCTCTCTGATTTCGACCATTGGTAGGCTCGCGTGGTTCCCATCCCCTTTGCGGCTGTCGTGGTTGCCGCTACTTCAGCGTGGTTGTCGACCGCCCCCTCGTCAGACGGTGGACTGGTCAATCAGTGTTGCACAGGCGTGCTGTTTTTGGTCTCGCAGGTGCGTCTGTGAGACACGAGACTTCCGGTCGGCGCCTTCTCTCTTCTCCGCGGGCGTCGGCAGTCGACCACGTGGAACTTTTTTCACCTAGCCCTGTCTGGGCTGACTCGAGCCTTGTGCGAGGCGGTTGGTAGGCGGGACGTAGGTCTTATGGTTCAGTTAAGCGTGTCAGTCGAGAACCAGCTTGATGCTAGAAAGTTGACCATCAGCTGGCACGCTAACCGAGACATAGACCTACATCCTGCTTACTAGGTGCTCCGCACAAGCCTCGGGCCAGCCCAGACAAAGCCAATAGGACAGGTGAAAAAGTCATACGGGCGGAGAAATCGCTGACCGGAAGTCACGTGTCCGACGTAACACACTGTCTCACGGCTGGGCCAACCGTTCCGAATAAACTCTTGCACCTGGCGCAAAAGTGGGTCTGCTGCAGTAGTGGCCCTGATGTGCTCGGTTGTGAGCGGCAACTGCCCGATGACACCTCTAAACTCGTCATCATCTTGTATTAGCGTGCTGGCGACAATCACGTCTTGATTTTCGTTGCCTGCACTCAGTCGGGATAAAGCGTCCAGAGCCCCAAACTTCTGAGTGGGCACGTATTGGATCTTAAATTCATAGTTTTGAAGAATAGTACTCCAGCGTTGTATTCTCCTAGCTACGTTCTGGGAAACACCACGGTTAGTACGCAAAAGGAACTTCAATGGTTGATGATCGGTGTGCAGTGTGAAGGGTCCGCCATAAATGAACAGGTGGAATCTCTGTACGGCGAAGATAACAACCAGTGCCTCCTCGATCTGGCTGCAATTTCTTTCTGCCCTCGTCAGTGACCTGGCGGCATGGATGATAGGCTGGACTCTACCATCTGAGTCCTTCTGAAGGAGCACTCAGCCTAAACAGTAATCAGAGGCGTCTGCCTGGACAATGGTCCCTTTGTCAGCCTCGAAGTGTGATAGCATAGTCGAGTCGCATATCTTTGTTTTTATGGCATCAAACGCGTTTTCACATTCTGGAGATCAAACAAACTCCACGTCTTTGCACAGAAGTCGGCTGAATGGAGGTTTTAAACTGTGCAACCCAGTGACGAAGGGGCCGTAGTAGCTGATCAACTCCATAAAGAATTGCAGCTCCTTCGTGTTCTTCGGCACTTTCATGTTCTGGAATGCCTTCACTCTCTTTGGGGCAGGTGCACGCCCATTCACGTTGACTATGAATCCGATATAGTGGATCCGCTTCCGCAAAAATTCACTTTCTTCCATATTGATCTTAAGACCGTAGTCGATCAGATTGTGCACAACCTGGTCCAGCCTTTGAGTCAGCTCTTCCTCTGAGCCAGCGACAACCAAAATATCGTCCCGATATGCAATAGTCCCGGGAAAATTCGTAAGCATTGTATCCATGATCTGCCAGAACACACTAGGTGCCGTTTTCACGCCGTAGTTTAGACGAGTGTATCTGAAAAGACCCTTATGCGTATTAATGGTCAAACGTTCCTGCGATTTCTCGTCCACCTCAATTTGTAAGTAAGCTTCGGAGAGATCGATCCTTGCAAAGACCTTCCCTCCATTTAGATTAGCAAACATCTGCCCTAATGTTGGCAGCGAGTACTGATAATCTTCTAGTGCGTCGCTCAAGCCCGTTGAATAATCCGCACATAATCGTATTCGTCCATTGGGTTTCTTCACCGCCACGACTGGAGCAGCTCAAGCTGAATAATTGGTAGGATAGATTATGCCCTCTACCAGAAGTCTTTCTAGTTCAGCTTCTACGGACGACTGTACCGCAAACGGAACCCATCAGCTCTGCTTGAAAACTGGCTTCTTCCCCGGCTTCACTTTTGAACTTGTCTTCGTCTTCGTGCACCTGCCGGCCGCGTTCTCCATGCGTTCCATATACTTATTCTTCAGGACCTCTTCAGTAGTGTTGTGCACCGCAATGCAAATTTCGTCGAAGGGACGGTTCCACAATCCCAGTTTGGAGATCGTCTTATTTCCGAGATCATTGTTAGGAGTCTTCGACACATAGACATCTGCGAGGCAAGCCATGTATCGAAAACTGACAGTCGTCTGAAAAACGCCTTCAAATTCCATACGCGTCTCGCTCGACGTCCATGCTATGATTTCTGATGGTCTCAGTTCTGGAGAACCGATGTCTTCCCATGTGCGCATGCTGATTAAAGGTGTGGTCGGCCTTTCGTTAATATTCACTGTCAAGTATTTCCGGTACTCGCAATTTAGTACTTGCGAATCGTCTTCTAAAACGACATGGCAATTCTTTCTTGAGCTAGCGTGCGCTGCCCTGCAATGTAAAGCTTTATGGCCAACACGGGAACATTTGTAGCCCTTCCTACTACGAGAGGGACATTCACTCACGTAGTGCCAACCGCCACACAGCCAGCATGCCGTCTTTGGCTTCCGTGGGGAATCTCTATTCGGTCATGGTTGTCTCGTTTTTGTGTCGAAAACGTAGGCTGGCTGACTATTTGTGCTTCCAAGAAGTTGGGTATCTTTCTTGATATTTGCGATTCGGACACATTTCTCTGCCAGTTCCTGCACTGTCATATCGCCTTTCTGGTCTAGCTGGGCGAGTAACCGCGTACGCACATCTGCATCTTCCGGCAACGTCAACGACTTAATGAAAAATAGTGCTATAATCTGCGCGCTGGTGGCCTGTTCTAGCTCGGCTTGAAGAAAAGTATCATTAGCTCGACCGGCCAAATCAAAATTGTCTTCTACAGGCTTACGTTCTAGTTTGAAACATTCAAAATGTCGATTGAATAGCAACTTTGTAAAACAGAACAATGCTTTCAAATGCTTGAGTGTGTCCTTGGACGGACATCAGTGTTTTGTCCGCCAGGTGGGGCTACGTAACAACATCTTACCCCAAGCAAGTCAGTTCCATGGAGGAAGAGTGAGATCCCCGGGCGCATAGAAGCTTTACAACACATCTATGAGAAAGGAGTTTACGTAACTATTTCAACCGTATTTAGCGATGTACTAATTTTTTTGAGTTCGCACAAAAAGGAGACGAAAAGCCAATTAAAAATAGCTCTTTTGACTTATACAAACCACAGATCAGACCTCAAGCAGAGACTAACGTCTCTGGGGCACAATGGTCGTTACGTTCCGCTATCCGAGAAGCTTGGTTCGACTAGTGTTTGTTGCAAAATTCAGCATCACCTGGATACTGGCTGGGTTAAGCTTCCTTTCCTTGTTGACTTGCCAAAACTCAGACACCTTTTGCAAATATGCCGGCATAATCTTTCTAGGGACCTGAAATTTATAACCAAGATGTAGAGCATGATTAGTCATGCTAGATTGCTGATTTATCGTCGGTCAAAAGACCTAAAAACGGACAGAAATCGTGTGCCTTCAACGCACACCTACCCGGTTTATGTAAATTGCCCAAGTTTGATGAGGCCACCGTAGTGAGCTTGCGGTGTGTCGGGCGTCATGCGTGAAAAATGTATTCCCCGTCGGCTGACCAATCAGAGGTTCGAGGCAGGTGGCATCAATTTTGGCGATCCTGTCAGGCTCGACCACCTCTGCTGATAAAGACAGCCTTTCTGCGTTGCACTGCGACATGAAATTAATAATGTCAAAAGTTCACTAACAGAGACAGGACAGACAACTTCTGGACCACATAATATTAATCATTCGGCCTTGACCCATCCCAGGCCCCGAAGACCAGAAACGACCACGCCGTCCCTCCTGTCTTCGTCGGTTATACGACCGCCATGATACGAGGCAGCCACCGTGGTCGGTCACACCTTAACCGAGTTCTTCGACAACCAGTTGGCCATGATAGCGCGCAGTGGTTGATCTACCTGTGTGGAGTAAAACGGTAACAACAGCCGGCAACTGACTTTGCTAACCGCAAAAATTGGACACTCAAGGCCCACCTCATCAACCTTAGGACACCAAAGCGCACGGGGGAAGGGCGGGTTCTGAGCAGTTCCGGCACAACCGGTGAGTTAAACGGAACCACAAATTTGCACAGATAACGTGCCTGAAGGGCGGGCGTTGATGGAATAAAAAAGTGAAGAGGTAGAAAATGTTACTTCTTCGGACGTGAGCATTCCATTGTGACGAGGGGCGAGTTGGGGTGTCGAAAATAACAGTCAGTTACAGGAGGGTGGCGAAGGGTGAAAAACAGGATGGACGGGAGGACGCGGTGAAAGGAGCTGGTGACGTGATCACTACTTCTGAGGAGTGAACACGTGCGCAGACCGAAAGGTTTTGCCTGCCGCGGTAAGGAGAGGTCCGCTACCATGAAAACCAATCTACACATGAAGACACGCTGGAGGGAGAAGAGAAGGGGCTGCGTAAGATAGTGGAACACCCACCGTAGGCGCGAAAAAGACCGGAGTCAAAATGCTGACTGAGGTGGACAGAAAACAGATCAGGTCCTAGCAACAGAAAGACAAAAAAAAACGTTATAGCGGGCGCTGGTTTAAAATCGGACAGGGATTCAAATAGTGTGGTGTTCTCAATGTATTGAGAATAATTGGCGAGAAGGATGGTTTCTGCACAGGGCTGGAAGGTGGAGGAGGATAAAGGATAATCCCCATGATTTTCACAGATTTCCAAAGAACAATAAATCACCAAAATACACCACTGCATCATTGTTGACAGAGTCCACATGAAAAGTGTCAAAGGGGGGAACACGGGTCGGGCAGGCATACACGTATGTATACATATATATTGTCGTTGTCCCTTAAGAATGAGAGAAGGGAAGTAGTTCTGGTACACCGTACACGTAAACAGTATATACACGGAGATAGAAGTGGCAGGGTTGAGGGACTAGAGACATCACCACGAGGGTCTTATCGAGCGTCTGACTTCTTACGTCTAGCATTACCGCCACCATCAGAAGAGGAATTGGAAGTGGTGGAGTTGCCCGAAGAGCCATCTAGAGCCTGCTGTGGAACAGAAAGCCCATCGACGTTGTGGTGGGAGCTGGGACGAAAGCGGTAGGGTAATCGTTGATGCGTTGGTATTCGCAAAAAGAAGGGATGAGTCATGGCCGCGGCGAGTGGTATACGATCGGCGGGATCATATTCCAACATCTTAGAAATTAGGTCAAACATGTCCAGTGTGTCTTGGCTCTCCTCCTTGCAGTACCGCTATAAGAAGGAATCAGGGCAAAAGGTCCGATTATGGTAGGGACGATTTAACAAAATATACATCAAAACAATTACACCTACTAATTAAACATTAGTAGGCGATTTATACGTGGTCATACCCGTAGGGGTTTGCATGCAGAAATGGCTTCCTTCGATTTCGCAGGCCAAACTACGGT